GTGAGTTCCAGGAAGCCTCCAAAGCTATAGAGAAAGTCTGTCTCAAAAAACAAAACAAAGAAGGAAGGAAGGAAGGAAGACCCATTGAACAAAGAAAAGCTTTGCACACTTGCAAATAAGGTCACTGTAAAATGACACACATATGTAATATTGTTTGTCAATGATGAATAATAAGCCAAAACAAGAATAAGAGGAAGGAAGGCAGGAGACAGACAGACAGACAGACAGACACACACACACACATACACACACACACACACACACACACACAGAGAGAGAGAGAGAGAGAGAGAGAGAGAGAGAAATCAGCTTTATTGGGAGTAGCTTTATTGGGAGTAAACATAAATGAGAATATCTTTATTACTACAAAGTCAATTTACTTTGATTAGCCTTACAGATCTTTAATCCTAAATGTGGCAAAGTAATTTGAATCAAACAAATGAAATGTGTAACTAGACAACATGAGAAACTGAAGACTGAGTCCAACAAAGACTGGCTTCTCAGGCTTGAAGGGAAAATAAGGTTGTAGTCTTAGAATCAAAGCTTTCCATTTTGCAACAAGTATTGTGAGGAAGAGGAAATGCTCTGTTCTCAAATTCTGAAAATTAAATTCATGAAATAAATTGAAGAAGAGAGATTAACAGGAGAACAATAATTTTCATTGTGAGCATAACTGACAAAATGAATCTGGAAGGTCTTGGAAAGTTGGAGAATGATGAGACGTTTTGGGAGGGAGAGGTGAGGGGATGTGTGGAGTATAAAGGTTATCTGGTTATGAAGGAAAAAAGTCTCTGATAAATAAAAACTACCCCCAGAGAAGCCTACAAACTGGGGACTGTTGGCACAATGTTGACATGCTCTTTTTTTTAACTGGATCTATAGTTTCTGACTTTTTATTCTTTAGGGCATTTATTTTAGGCCCTGTAAATCCTACTGTCAACATGTGTGACATTTGCAATGTCTGGGATGAAGTTGCACATGTGTCAAGACACAGCCCATTGAAGCCTCTTTTCCATAGAGTGCTTGCCAAGTCCTCTTGGCTTTTCACAGACAGTTGGTAAACTGTGCATGGAGATCCTCTCCTGAATTAATATGGAGGAATGAAAACAGATCCCAAACATGTTGCCAATAAGAATGTGCTAAATAAAAGGCAAAGTTAAAGGAAAGTTTTTTAAATTTACTGACCCTTGTCTTTAACAAATGTCATCATCTGTGATAAAAGGAACTGTATCTTGGCACTTATGACACTTGAAGTCTCCTCTTATTTTTTTAATTAATTTGCACTAGTGGTCTTGTGATCCAAGATTTTTTTTTTACCAATAGATACATAGAGATGGTAAATGATAGATAGATGGATAGATGTTAGATAAATAGACAGACAGATAGGTAGCCCATATCATTTTATTAACTGAAAGGATAAAATATCTTTTTCTTTTTAATTTCAGTTAAGTGTAGTCTCAAGTTGGCCTTTAAGTTATCCTAGCAATCTGGAATTTCAATAGATCATGTGTGTATCCAAATTTTCTCTATGGAAACCAACTTCCCCCACCAGAGTAAAATTCTGCTCATTTTCCTAACACCCACTTTGCTCCCAGACCAAGGTTTACTTAGACTGAAAGAATGGTATTATACCATAAACTAGTAGATGGAGATTGTAACGGCTTTGTTCTTAGTAGGGTAGTTGAACATGATACTGAATGAACCCTGTTACTCTTTTGAGAGAGAGAGAAAAAACTATCTCTTTGCCCCTTGTGCTACATTCTAGCTTGCTTCTTTCTGTGTCCTTATGTGATAGAGCAGGACTACACTGCTCAGTGAAGGATATATTAAGTAATTTAAATCTAGAATACCAAAGACTGAAGTGTGGTCAGAAGCATGAAAGCACATGGTAAATAACTTAGAAACTCCTAGAACTTGCTCAGTAGTTCTGGAAAACAGTCCAAGAGCTTATTCTTTAAACAAGGATTTCAGGTGGTTTCTTGTGTAGATGGTTTGCATACAAAATATAAGAAAAGGAGTCCACATATACCCTGGGGCAGAATCTGGATCTGATGAGGTGTTTGGTTATATTGTTGGAGTTCATAGGACATGGACACTGGTTAGAGTGGGCCACTGAAAGTGTGTTTTTCAGAGTTGTATTTTGTCACGGCATCTTCCTGTACTCCTCTTTTCTGTTTCTTGGCTGTCATAATGTAAAGTAACCACCCATGTGTGTCTATGTATACACTTTCCATGTTTTGGTTCTGGACTATAGAAAACAAAACAAAACAAAAACAAAACGTGTTCACCAAAAAGTATCTAATCCTATGTAGCACAGAAGAGTTCCAAATTTGGGTTTGGATTTAAGGTCGAGAGGGGCATTGGCTCTACTGGTTAGATAATATATTTGAGCTAATGATGACTAGAGAAAGCAAGCAGTAGCTGTCAACTTCACTATACAATAAAACTGATGAGATATGTACAACATTGGCACCTGGACCATGTGTCCCAAAGTCTGATTCCATCAAGTTTGGAATAGTCTGAATAAGAATTTTAGGTATTTTACATGCATAACCAAACCACTGGGGAAGAGAAAATGAGTTCTATTACACTGGAACCCTAGATGAAAAAGGCACTGGCACACTCTTAGACCATTCACTGTAAGTTTCAGCACAGAAGGCTGTACTTCGAGTTTCTATAGCACCACAAAATCAGTAGGTGACAATATTTGGATTAGTGTTTACCCATGGACATAGATAAAGATAAGGAAATTGTCTACTTTTGGGCTTTGGCTACAAAGAAAAGCACTGAACAATAAAAATAAAAGAACTCTAAAACATCTCAACTATAGTCAACAACAATTCTTTTGGCTTAAAATATTTTCTCTAAAGAAATAAGAGAATTATACACTTAGGGTTTTCCCATTTGTTTGTGTCCAGACTGAGATGATCGAATTCACAATGAAGAACTAATGACTTGATTCTTTTTCTTTGCTAGAAATAGTTGGTATTAAGAGCAAAAGCACATGTGAACTGTAGCTTTAGAAAAATCCAGAATATTGGAGGAGTAATGATTTTATTAAATCTGTAATATTCTGATACAATTGCCCCCATCTAGTAACTACTTTGTCTTAGTTTGTTCTCTCATAACAACGTGGTACATTTTGATTTTGTAAAAATGAAGCTATCTTTGCCCAAACAAAATAATTCTATTTCAGCATGATGGTAGTTATCTTAGAAGCAGGTTCTGTGGGTTAGATCAAAGATACATTGGGTCTCTGATATGAAATTTAAGACTCTGTATGCTTTTAAAAGTGTGAGTTCCAAACTAAGGGCCAATGGTATTCTGGACAATCCATGAATTTTAGGATGGAGTCTACATATTTTTGAAATTGTTGTATTTTGCTATGAACTAGTCTATGACTTTTTTTTTTTTAATCTGATTTTCATGGAGTTCATAATAAAAACAACCTGCTTCCGGGTTCCACGTTCTTAGAGGCTCCTTTACTTTAGTCCCTTTCCACAGTGCAGTGTCGAGAGCAAGACAGGCAGTATTGGTTTTGGTCCTCACCTATGGTTCTCTGTACCAGTGTAACAGGTGTGTGTGTGTGTGTGTGTGTGTGTGTGTGTGTGTGTGTGTGTAATGCTCTGTCAGCACAATGTTGTTGCTATTAGATGGGGGCAGCCATAGCTATGACCTTTGTTACTTTTGCTGAAGCTTCTGGTACTATTTTGAGAAAAAGAGCAATTTCCATCATTTTTCAGTTCATAGGATTTGTACAGTGTTATAATCACCAAAAAGAAGGTGAGTTTGATGTTGACCCATCTATGTCCTATTCTTGTACCTAATCAGATATCATCCTTTTGAGTAATCATTGCCAAAGGTTGCAAATACAGTGAAGATGTCCTACACATAGAGATCACAGCTGACATGTGTAAATGTGCTGGATTTTAAATTTGTGAAAAAAAAATAGAAATTTTCTTTCACTTAAAAATTTATTCAAGAAACAAGCAAAAAATCCAGATTCCTTCTCTTCTAGATGACATTTAGCCTCATTATCAGCAGCAATGTGATTTTTGTTAAAATAACATTTTAAGATAAAATCTATCTAATTTTACTCACTATTACTTTCTTAAGATATTGGAATAGGGCAGTTATGTAGCTTAATTTCCTCTTGTCTGACATGTGGCAGTTTTTTTTTTATTAAAATTAATTTCAAAATACCTGATGAGAATATAGTAATTTTGAGTAACTTGAATATATTGACTATTGTACATTTTTTCAAATAATATGTACTATTTATTTAATTTTATGTGCTTTTAAAGTGGTGGCACATGTCTTTAATGCACTCAGAAAGAAGAGGCAGGCAGATCTCTGAGTTCAAGGCCAGCCTGGTCTATAGAATGAGTTCCATGGCAGCCAGGGATACACAGAGAAACCCTGTCTTAAAAAAAAAAAAAAAAAAAAGTTGTTAGCATGCTACATTTCCTAGTCCTGCTGCTGTTTTCTTGGAGGCTTCTTGTACTGGCCCCCTATGTGAGACAAGGCACATGTCAACTAGGCTTTAGATTGGATCAAACCCTGAATAATTCTTTCCAAGCAGGTCTGTTGTCATTCTTTCTAAGGGCATGGTGGAACACATACATGAAGTAGGAAGTTGGGGTCTGGACCAGTCCTATTCTCCCATTCTGTGAACGGAATGAGTAGGGAACGGTACACCCTTCAGGTAGATGACTATTGTACTAAAATCTTTGACAACCTCTGTCAATGAGATTCCTGATGTGAAAGTGTAGTGAGATAGTCCTTCTCTGGCACTGACCACACCCATTGGGGGGTGGAGCCATGGGCGGAAGTGACCTGTGGAAGGAGGTCGGAGGAGGCCAGGAAAGGTGCTCTCTTTCTGGACAGGAGAGGATCGGGTTGAATTTCCTGGTGTTCATCTGTCTAGGTTGTAAGTTATTTCTCCCTGAATAAACATCTATTCGGCCTATTTGTTTATCCTGATCCTTATTTACCGCGATAGTGAAAGTCCTCAGGAAACCTGAGACCTGGCCTTGCTAATGATAGCCACACAGAGCCGTGAGGCTCAGCTGGTCATCACTGGGTGAGGAAGGGTCAGGGTCACTATAAATCTGAGTCAGAGCCAAGCTCAGGATTTCTTTTTTTTCTTTGTAAAAGCGTAGTTCTTGTCCTGCCTTCCTGGCTTCTTCAAGCTCTCCCAGGGCAGCACGTAGCTCTTGAGAGAGAATTCCTGGTGACTCGCGCTCCTTCATGATCCAATCTAGGGCCATGTGGCTTCGCATCTTTTCATCTAAAGAATATTGGGAATAATAGGAGATGACTTCCTAGAACCAAGAAACAAAAGTTCAGAGTGTCAATAAACAGAAACAAAAGCACTGTGGGCAATGTCGTCTATACTTCTCCAGTCATATGGCCTTCAAACAACTCTTACTTTCAAAATCTGAAACCAAATCCCATTGACATACTTCTGAAAAGGAAATGATGAACTAATCTAGTCCTGCAAAGCCTGTCACTCCAGGCCGAGTCAAAACGTACCACTAGGAATGACAAGTAATGTTCACAAAGACACAGAAATACTTCATTTATCCATTGCCCAGTACGATTGCCTTTGACAAGACAGAAAGAGGAAAGGGCTACACAGACAAGTTGAGGTAGACAGAGGTTTGTACATGCCTATTACATTAAAAGGAAGCATCCAGTAAAGGGGACTTTAGAAGATTTTGAAACCCAAGACTCTACTTCCTAGAAGGTGTGCTTTGTTTTTGGGACACAGGCCAACAGCAGAATGCTTGTGAGAAAACTCCAAGGAAACAAGAGTCTTGTGACCACAGTTTCTTCAAAAGCACAAAACTGTTCTTGGAATGTGTTTTCATGCTCCTCCCAGGTGTACCAGTTAGGAGTAAGTACTTCAGATTATTCATTACAACTGGCTATTGCCTCTATGGAAAAACACTTTTGCCACATGCAGTTTGCCCTCCATGTATGGATTGCTCTTGTGATTATACCTTTTACTCATGTGACTCCTTTTAACTCTCAGAGTATAAATGGATTGATGCTCCAAATAAACTGAACTATTGCATGAGACTTCAGTATGCCTCATTTTAAACTCCATTCTCCCAGGTGCCACCGCCTTTAGAGTGGTAAACACTTTGTTAGCATAAGGAAGACAAATGTCCTAATAGCTCACAATCAGTGCAGAGGGAACTTCCAAAATGTATTGTAGAATGGAGACATTATCATTATTGGTATTACAGTGATACCTTTGTGATTTTTTTTTTACTTTTGCAAACAATTAACAATTAACCACTCCTTTCATTTCTTCTATGAAAAAAATATCAATCCATCATGCTGTCACATATATGTTTGATCATAGGGAATGGATGCATTGCTTATTTTTATTTTCAGGAACATATGGTATTTATTTATGACCTTAACAAATTAAAAACAATCATGGAAAAGTGTTTATAACCAATCCAACATATTTCAAAGGACTTTCATAAAATCAAAGGAAAGGAAAAAAATAGCTAAAGCCATTGTCAGCTACTCATTTCTTTTCCATTTTGACATTTTGAAAGCCAGACTTTCCAAGCAAAGAACAACTAAAAATTACAGGGTTTGTAGTGCCTTCACCCTCATCTTGATTACTGTAGAGTTTTAGTTCTTCATACAAATTCTTATTAGGAAATTCTCAAAAATAAACTATTGTCCTTCAAATTCTGATGAGTTAAAAAAAAAAAAAAAGGATAAATCTCAGAGGACAACAGGAAAAAAGCATTAAACACATAGGATAGAATTTACACTTGGTATTAAAAAGAGGAAGGGTTCCTATTGTAAGTTATCGGGGCTTCAGAGAGGAGGCTTACAGCAGGCAGGTTGGGGTTTGCTAAAAAAGTTCTGGTCTGAGGGCCAAAAGGAAATAAACAGGCCCACACATGCATTTCTCTTGTGGCTCTTTATTCAAGAAATGTTATTCCCAAAAAGCTCACTCTCTCTCTCTCAAATGCTCTCTTTAAGATTTCTCTCTAAAAGCTCTCTCCTCAAAAGTTCTTTCTTTAAAAGCTCTCTTAAAGTTCTCTTAAGATCTAAAAGTTCCTTGTAAAAATTCTCCTGAGGTCCTTCTAAAAAGTCTCCAAAAAGTTCCTTCTAAAAATTCTCTAAAAGTGCCTTCTATCTCACAAGCTTCTAGTTTTTGTATCTGTAGCAACATTTAACAACTCTCTAACAATAGAGCATGCATATCTCTTAGAGCAAGGAAGGCCAGTAGAATCTTGAGAAAAGCAGGTGCCTTCAGTCTTCCCTGTGAAAGTGACTTGCAAAATGTCCTGGCAAACTTTAGTGTCAGGGGAGATGTGACTTGCGACATGTGCTGTTAATTTATTAAAGGGGACTTCTCAGCGCTATATCAAAGGAAAAACCTAAGGCTAAGTAGTGTGAGATCTAGAGGCTGCAGCTCTTACTGCTAATGCCCTGGAGAGAAGGAATTCCTTTCTCTGGGGCCTATTTTGAGAATATGAATCACCCAGCATTATTCTATATATAGCCAAATTTGCAGGAACATATATTCTGGAGCTGATACCTAGAATATTAATTGATACTTCTGTAATAAATGATAAAGGCTCCCAGCATTTCACCCCTTTTCAGTTTATTTTTTTTAAGGTGTGTAAATCTCTCTCCTTGGGCAGCATAAACTGTGGATGAATAATTTAACCGTGGAAGATAATTTTAAATTAGATTAATTGATTAATACAGTTCTGGGATAATTTGGGATGAATCCCATTATGGAAAAGGGGAATGCTATGGCTTCACAAGTGTTCTACAGAGACAACAGAGGCTATTCAAAGGCCAGGTATCTCCAAGACTTTGCAAGTGAGGTTTCATTCAATGGAATACATGATGATCTTTCTGGGTCAGCCTAGTGATTTGTCAATTGAGATCTCATTGTATGTATGATCCCTGTGGACTGTAGCAGTAAGTAATGAAGGAATACTGAGACCTTGCCTCTGGAAAACAAAGAGGAAACTTTTAAGTTAAAAAAAAAAAAATTAAGGTGACTAACAGTGTGTCCAACTTGATGATCCTTTTCGTTCTTTTTGAGGAATTTTTGGTGTAACAATTCTGTCTGTCTTTATTGTGGATGTTCTGGAAACAGTGGATTCTCTTTCTCTCTATACTGGACAGTGCAAAAGGGGACAGATTCAAAACAGGCATGGTGGATGCACAAGGTAAGTTCAGTACTTCACTTAGAATCCAACACTGTCTTATAGTTGCTTCATTCTGCATTAAGTATAATGGGAGTTCTGATCAACCCTCCGCAGGGCCAACATTCTTAGTGTGGCAATCCCTGACTCAATATTTCCTCACTGTCCCTGCTCTTACTTAATAGGTAAACATAATTTTAAAACAAAGAGATTCATAAACAATGGAGGTTTGGTTGATAAAGGAAGCCTCTTCAAGGTTTGTTAGGCTCCTGGCCTTGTCCTTGACACACTAACCTGTTTCAACTAGAAAGTCTCACCTGTCGAGAGCACTTTGTTTCACGGAGGGCTTTCAGGCTTCCATTCCAGTGCAATAGTTGGAAAACAGTCATCAGTTCCTACAAAACCCAAACATCTGTCATTGATCTGAAAGCAGAAGTGCATGTCAGCAAGAGCTGAGCAGACATAAATCTGACCCTAAAGAAATATGAAACTGTCAGAAACCTTGGGACTTTCCACAGAAGAGAGCACCAAGGCACCCGAAAAATGTCTCCACTCCCTGCTTTACCTTACTTTCAACATGACTTTGCTAAGTGGTTGACAAATGTTTGTCAACACTAAAAATGCACACATTAAAATAATTGTGCACCCCTAAAGTAACTTATGTTGTCAGAACATAGGAGAAATAACTTACAACCAAGTTACACCTATAATGTATCATTTTTTTTTTTTAATTTCCAGAGACTGGAAACATTTCAAATGTTCATATTTAAAAAACAAAGTATGATATATCCATATTACTTAATACGTCATACATAAAAGTTGTTAACATCCTCCAAGCTGCAATACAAACAAATATATGGTGTATTATTAAAGTAAGAGAAAAGCCAGCAATGGTGTGTAGTTTGTGTTTTATTTTAAAAGAACAGAAGATTCCTATATATACATTTGCTTGTAAATGCCTAGAAGAGTTTTTACAATATGCAAAAGAACCTGGTAATAGAGTCTGAGGGTCTTACGTGGTGGTAGAGAATGTACTTTAGCATGCATGAGACCCAACATTGGATCTCCAGCACCAAAAGAAAAAAATAAATTGATCTGTTAACATGTCTGACTTGAGAGAAAGGAGTGGGAGGAATTCTTCCCAGCATTCCCAGCATTCTGGAGAAAAGGTTTTGGGCTTTAAATCATGTAATTAAATGACATTAAAGAAAACAATGGGAATTTTAAGAATTTAAACTGAAAAATAAATGTCTACATTATTAAGAGAAATTTATAGGATCCATTGGCTTTGGACCAAGCTCCTTCCAATGCATGACTCAAAATGGACCAAACCAAAGTAGACTTACTCATGCTAAAGTTCCATATCAACAAGCTGAAATAGATTATTTACCTGACTTTTTCAGGATACAGAAAAGAGAGGGGGATGGAAGGAGGGAGGGAGAGAGAGGGGGAAGGGAAAAATATAGAGAGAGGCAGAAAGAGAGAGAGACAGACAGACAAGGAGAGAAAGAGGGAGAATTTTAGCCAGCATAAAAAGAGAGGTAAGTCCCTTTGCTTTAAGACTGCCTTAAAATACCAACAGTGTGGTTGTGTTCACCTTTAAACAAATGAAGTGTTCCACATTCTGTTCTTTAGCCCGAGAGCACAACTGGTCAGTTCTACTCCCAATCCCCTGTCTGATCTAGGACCAGCAAGCTGAGCATCCCCATTTTCCTAATGCGGCCACAGCTAACAGTTTTTCACTGAAATTAGTGGTGTTTCACCTATTCAGGGATTCCATTTTTGTTCTTGCTTTTTTCTTTCTTTCTTTCTTTTTTTTTTTTTTAAAGCTACATGTCAATTATGAATCCATACCATAAACCACAACCATATAAACACTGGAAAATAATCCCATATAATTAAGGAACTTTCTGCTTATGAAAACTTAGCATCCAGACAGATGTCTTATTGACTATTCATAACAACAGTCTTTTACTGACTGGTTTTACTTCTGTTTGCTCAAGAACATGTTTTTCTTCTGAAACTCCAGAGATGTGAAGTCTTAGATTGTAGGCATGTTAAAATTATCTGGTGCATTTTAGAGCTGTAGGGTTATCGGAGGATCAAGCAGCTCTAGTCTCAGCTCTAAAGCTTCTATTATGGGTCAGTGCTGCTACTTTTCATCTCAACATCCACTTGGCGCATTGTGTGTACTCCGCCATATGACAAGTACCCCAGGGAACACTGAGCTAGCAGTAAAAGCAAAACCATTTGTTTCCATCAATTAAAATCAACACAAATATTAAACAAGTTGCTCCTTCCACACCAAACAAAGACCCCACTGTCCAGCATCCCTAGCCAAATGCCCAGAGACTTGCCCTGCAACAGCCCCTCTTCCCCCTGACCCCATGCAGTTTCACTCCAGCGATTCGCTACACTAATATGAAAAACTGGGAGCGTTTCAATAGACTAATAGGCCTCTCATCACTGTCTGTCAAACCAGTCATCAAAATACTCCCAGGAGGGTAACTCTCTGCTACCTTCTCCAATGCGCCCTTTAAACCCACTTATGCAATACTTTGTAGACACAAAAATGAATATGGATTCATTATGCCTTGATAGAGAACAGGATCTATGTTATAATAAAAGTCCTGTAATAAAAGTCCAATATTTGATGTTTCTTTGATTCAATATAAAAATCTACTTGAATTTTGCATTCATTATATATATATATATCATATTATTTATGTATCATATATGCGTGTTCATGTGGATGTGTGTGTACATGAATATGAATGAGTATAGAGGCCAGAGGTTGACAGAGGTAGGTCTCACTGAACTTGGAGTTTACTGATTTGGCTAGACTGTTGAGAAAGTATTTTCCTGACTCCATCTTCGTGGTGCTATGATGACAACTTTGAGCTACCACACTTGGTTTCTTATGCGGATTCTGAGGGTAGAATTTGAGTCCTCTTGACTATGTGCAAGCACTTTAGCCTGAACTATCTCTTCAGCCCTATATCTATTTTTTAATGAAGAAAAAATTCACTGCTTCTTCATCTCATCCCTCACGACCCCAAATCTGCAGTTGGTTTTATTTTATTGTATTGTTTTTTATTTTTTACAGATTTATTTATTATATATACTGTGGCCTGCCTGCATGTATAGGTGCAGACCAGAAGAGGGCGCCAGATCTCACTATAGATGGTTTGTGAGCCACCATGTGGTTGCTGGAAATTGAATTCAGGACCTCTAGAAGAGCAGTCAGTGCTCTTAACCTCTGAGCCATCTCTCCAGCCCTGCAGTTCATTTTAAATTTAACTTTCTTCCAGTTCTGTAGCTCAAACTCAAGACTTTGCACAAACCTGGCAAGCTTCCTACAAGTGAGCTATATTCACAGTCCCTATGTAAATTTGGCAACCAAAAGAGACAAGCTGGACCTGTGTTGCAGCTTTTAGTACCCATCCTAGAATTGCCCTCAAGTGATCCTGTTTAAGAAACAACGTATTGCTAACACAGCTCTTGATTCCCATTGGTGTACACTCTCTTCTTCCTCCAGGATCCTCTGGAACCACCTGCTCATCTGTGAGTCAATGGCTGCCTCTTGTGGATACAGTGCTGTCATTCCACCTGGCCAATCACCCATGACTTTAGAATCCATGGTTACGCTGTGAACAGAACCAGAGAGCTTTTTCATGCTCCTTGGCAACCTTGATCCCTCAAAGGCTTCCTAAAAAGACTTGTACTGTTCCTGCCTTGTGGAGGAGGGTCATTTACTTCCCCACTGCTCTAGTTTGTCTAAAAAGTACTTCCTCCTCAGTGTGGCTCTGGTTCTTACATTTCTTTGGGAAAGCTGGCCTCCTTCTCATATATTCTACACTGGATTAGTCTTTGCTCTGCTGTGTAGAAACACTTGTCTTCATAGTATAAGGTATACTCAATTATTTATACACACTTCCTGTCCATTTCTTTATTTCCCTTCAAGAGACCAAAGTCTTTTAGTTGTTTGTTGCTATACAGCTCTGGCTGTCCTAGAATTCCCTATGTAGACCAGCCTGTCCTCGAGCTCAGAGAGCTGTCTGTTTCTTCCTCCCAAATGCTGGGATTAAAGGTGTGGGCCACAACTTCCCAAGTCTCTGTGAGTTGATGCTTAACCCAGTGCTTCTATGCTCTGTCAGACTGGGAGGGAAATAAATCCATGCAATATTTCAGAAGACATCTGAAAGGAACTGTTTTCTAGTTTCATTGTGATTCTTGTTGCCTGGTTTTTACCCTGGCTTTGTACTTTATCAACCCCTGTCCTGTACAGAAACTTGTAGTCACCTATTCTACAATGGCCTTTTCTGCTCTTATGTTGTGGAGTTTGTTAAATAAACCAATTTCAAAGTCTGGGGAGACTGGCTGGACTGAAAGGAAAGTGGAAGCCAGTTTTTAGGGTGAGGTATGGGAGGCAAGATTTAAACTAATTTGTGAGTATTCTGGATCTTTAAAAAAAAAAAAAAACTGGCATTTTGTGCCAGGCATTGTAACACATATGTTCAACTTCAGTGTTTGAGAGGCAGCAACAGGCAGATCTCTGTGGGTTCAAGCTAAGCCTGGACTACATACTGAAACCTACTGAAACTATTTTTTTTTATTTTGTAATATTATATATCTTAATCACTGAGCTTTTTAAAAGCATCTTTCAATTCTTTGTCTGGGAAATTCTGGACCTGCCTGGCATCAAGCCTGGCTTCCCACTGGTGAGGTCTGGGCAGCCCTGGAGGCTCTGCCCCAGTTTGATACTCAGCTTGATAGCTTTTGAGCAAAGGTCTTTGTATTTTTAGTTTGTACTGGGCCCCACAAATTAGGTAACCGTTCTTGGTCATCAAAGTAAATTGTAAACTGAATGGTGAATGAAGCCTGTGTTCCCTTTGCTCTGTGGGGAAATTGCAGTTGCTGCTTGCTCTCCATTTTTACTGTCATTCAGTTCCTTTAATTTTGCAACAACTGGGCTCTGTCCTAGAAACTGCCTGCCTGGTTCCACCTACTAGAGACAATGGCTTTTCAGCTACTTTGAGTGGGAGAAAAAGGCTCATTGCCTCTCCCTGGATCTCTGGGAGACTGGCTTGGCTCTGTGATTCATCAGAAATAAGAAAAACAAACACTGTAAATGGAGAACTTGGAAAACAGGTGGGCACCATCTCCCCACCCAAGAGAATGAGTTTAAGAGGAAATTTGTTTATGGGATGAGGCTTTAAAAGGCGACCTGGGGAATTTAGCACAGATGTAAATAAACAACTCCTCCTTGGGTTGCATTAGTCTTTAGAATAAATATATTAACCAGCTTCAGTCAAATTCTGCCTAGAATCTGACCTTGACAAGACCCAGCGCCTGCTGGTTGCCACTTCTGCCCCTCCCCCAAAGAGCAGGCAGTTTCTCTCTGGGCAGCCTACCTTAAAACAGGCAGCCCCTTCTCTCCCAAGAAGAGAAGATAAGCCAAAGCCTGTTAAGAATCCCTCAGCGCCGCACTGCAGGACCAATCCGCTGAAGGAGACTCCAGTCGTTTGTTTTTTTTTTTTTTTTTTTTTTTTTCACTATTGTCATTCATTCCCTGATCCAAACACTCTTCGGTGACATCCCCAGTGACGGTGACTCAGTTGTGTTTCTGCTGAAACTGCCCCAGTCTGTATTCACTTCCCCCGGCAGGTGGGCAGAAGGAGAAGGGAAAGCTTACCTACCTGTGCCTCATCCCGACTCCGAGGGTTTGGGGTTTCCCTGCTTTCTGTCGTTCCCTTTGTCCCCAACCTGCCCCCAGCCTTCTTTGTGAAACTTTTGCAGGGTGTGATTTAAATGATTATGATTTAAATACCTTACTACAGGCTACACGGAAAGCAGACCAGGAAGGCAAGGGTTAAAGTGATCACCTGCATTGGCAGAGTAAACCAATCATGTTCAAAATCATTATTTTTTAAAATACATACTAAATCACATACAACTTCTAGGTACGGGGGTGGCAGTGAGTGGGTCCTACACCTGGGCTGGGTAACACAGTAGAGCTAGCCCTGAAGTTGTAGGTGTGGGAGAACCCACCCTGAGGGTGTGGGAGAACTGACCCCTTGCTCATCCCTTCAGGGGGTCAAATAGCAAGGGCAATGATGGAGAACTCACCCTGGAGGTGAAGACAGGGCAGAGACGGCCAGCTGATCAACCCCACAACTACTCAGACCCAGGACCAGGGTTAAGTGTTGGCCCATCCCCAACATCCATCTCATCTGTGAAATGCTGGATTGGGAAGTGGTCCTGGGACCCAGGGCAAGATATCTCCACAGCACAGGGCAGCAAAAGGATGTCCAGGAATAGTGTCCAGGCCCAGTGTCGATAATGTAGCTGAGGCCAGGGCCCTCCAGCCGAACTAATGATTCTACGGGATGGACGCCTGCATGTAAAGATGCATGGATAAAGGGGTTTACTGTGTGACTCACTGTGTCACACTGCAGCTTCTGTACATTTTCCCTTTCTTCCACTTTTTTCTTTTTTTATATTAAATTTTGTTTTGTTTTATTTGGGGGGGCGTTGCAGGGGCAGAGGGCGGATGCAAGGATGCATGAGATGCGTGGGATCGGGATGCATGATGTAAAAGGCAAAAAGAATAAATAAAAAAGAGATTTAAAAAATATTCCTTAAAGACGAAACCTAAATGACTTTCCCCCTTATGAGAAGAGCTGTTCTGGATGATTTATAAATGTCCAGAACTTTAGCTCTATAAAATGACACTATTTTTTTTTTATTATTTAGCAGAAAATAAAAATAAGTTTCAGACTGGGCAAGCTCACAGACGTAAAGTGACAGGCACCCACACCACACATGGGTGGCTGCATGCCTTTTCTCTTCTGCTATTCTTTTGCTTGTTATTTTCTCCTATGCTTGGGGTTAGATTGTGGGAGAGGGTTACAGATCCTTTATAGTTTCCCCCATTTATTGTAAGGCAGTGGGCCATGAAGCATTTTGGCAGGGAGCTACCTAACCTCTTGTGAAGTTTGTGATTACCTAAAAGTGTCAGGGTAAATCCATCCATCATGCAGCCTCCAACATTTCAAGTAACAATCCTTCAGAGTCACCCTTAAACTTCATGGAGTGTTTACCATATGCCAGGCTGTTCTAGACTCTTATTATTTCACCATCACACTGGCACTGTGAGGTAGCACTGGTATTTCCTCAGATTTATACACAAATGAAGAAACACAATTGGCGACAAGGAACGGAGTAAGGCTAAAACCAGCCAGTCTATCCCTCTGTCCTCATTCAGTACAGAGAAAAGTTGGTGGCTTTGGGAGTCAGCTGCAGCACAAAGATTAAGTTTTACCATGATAAACATTTTTGTTCATAAAATTTTTATAAGTCTAATTATTTCTTGAAACCAAACCTAAGAAAATAGAAGTACTGAAAGTGAGGTTGTACTATTCCATATTAATTTTTGCTGGTATTCTATGTCATTGGATATTTGACTTTATTTAAACTTAGCTGTTTAGAGGGACACACACTGACTGCCAAGTCATTACTGAATTTTTATCTGTCTAGACAAGTATGTGAAAAGAATCAGATGTGTAAGAAAAGGAAAGAGATTGTCTTGCGTGTGTCTGAAGCCTGGAGCTCAGTCATTTGCTAAGTGAAGATAATCTTCCTTGGATAACATGTGAATGATAACAACTACCTCATATGACTGTTGTAAGGTTTAAATTATACTAATAATTGTCAAATGCTCAATATTATGCCAAAGAAAGTATCAAATGAGAATCAGATACCAAGGTTATTGTCATTAATGTTATTTTTATACTGTATAAATACAGATAGAATAAGCCAATTTAATTAGAAAACATCTGTAAGCCAAAAATGTTTATAGTGCAGTTAGCCCAGTGAACGACACAGCCAAGCAGATTACACCTCCAACATATTCAAAACACAGTTGGCTTGCAGTTAAGCAAAACTTTATAATATAGTATTAAAATCTTCTGTGATTTATTGAGCAATATACTGAAGAGACAAGGAACTGTGCTGTTTGCATGGCTTCATAAAAGTGTGAAATTATAAACTGAGGACTGTGTGCGGTAAATAACAGAGTTCCTCCACTGTCTTTGCTTGTCAACTGTGGATGACATGTTGCTAATGTTGGTTTCCCTGATAGGAGGGAGAGGCACATCTTGTTTAATAGAGTATAAGAACCGAAAAAGAAGGAGGAGAAGAAGAAATATCAGAAATGAAATAGTAGCTTTGAATGTACCACTATGGAAATCCTTATCTGCCTTCAGGAAATAAAGGAAGAGATGGTCACAAACAAAATTTTTAATCACAACCATTTGATTTTGTTTAAAGGGGTCTTAGTCCTGAAGAGCTGGTGAAGTGTTACTGGGTTGTAAAACAGGCATTACTCATCTATTTCTAAGAGATGTAAAGTGACAGACGCCATATGAAGGTCTGCAGGGTTTTAAATGGATGCATTCCATTTTACCCTGTTGTTTTCTTCTCTTTGAGGACAGTTTTGTTTGAAAAACAAATCTATATCTATATCTATATGTATCTATCTATATCTATCTATCTATCTATCTATCTATATATATATACACTCTTTATTGTTCTCCTTTTTTGTTGTAAGACAGAGGCCCTCAAGATTTCGGGCAGAGAGCTTCATGAGGGCAGAGTGTGACATGATTGCTATTTGATATAGGTTAGTGAATGTTGCTAAAATGCAGTCACCATGCTAAATTCTAAAAGGGTAAACTTTAAAAAATCAGATTGTTGGACCAGAAGATTCTAGCGCTAATGATAGGAGTTACAAGTTTTGAGTCTGGAGAGATGCCTTAGTAACTAAGTATAACTGTAGCTCCAGGGAGATCTGATGTTCTGCCCTCCACAGACACCTAAATTTATGTGCACACATACACATACACACATTCTCTCTCTCTCTCTCTCTCTCTCTCTCTCAAAAAGGAAGGAGGGAGGGAAGGAGGGAAGGAAGGAAGGAAGGAAGAAAGATAGTTGCACATTTCCCAGGCTTCTGAATTGGATCATCAAATAAATAACTGGCATGGAGTTAGGTACCTGAAACTCCAGCATAGTCTTCCCCATGTTTGACTCCAACATGTAATGATAAGCTCCGACACTTGTGCTGGGATCATCCGCATCATCTAAAGTGCCCTAGGGAAGGAAAGCAAACAAAACAATGTCACTAATAATTCCTTCCCTTCTTTGAATGAATAGGACCTAATCCTATTATTTGCCTACAGGTATTGATATCATGACTCAAGTAAAGAATGCTTTATAATCAGCTTGAATGTGACTTTTGCTTAAATGCTAGCAGATTGTATAACTGTTGATGGGATAATAATCTCAAAGCACAAATTCCTATATTTTTTTTTTAAGGATTTCTTGTCAGGGATGAATTAATGCTTATGTGACTGCTCTCCATGGCTGTCATTGTGGCTTACTGAAATCTTACAGGGTTGACCTTATCCAGCTTTCAGGCAAGACTGCATAATAGAAATTGAAAGAACTGTGCAGGTGTTTTCCTGCCTGACTCTTAAAGGGAGGTTTTCATAATAAGCTGCTGCTGACACCAGGGATATTGGTTTATATATATTTCTCACTCTCAGACTATTTAATATTTAAAAAGCAATGTGGGTAAAAGGTAGAAATAAGATTCCTTTCCAGCCTGGTTGTGAGGAATGACACTAAGCAGCAAATGCAAGCTCTGGAATGCCATTCAGGCTTCCTTCAGTATCCCATTGCCTTGGATTCCCAGGATGGTGGGCAATAGCAATGTTGTGAGACTGAACAAACAACTGTCAGCATTAGACAGCAGGAAATGTATAGCTTTGAATGCAATAACATTAACACACTGCTCCTGAAATATTTATGTTGGACTTTTAAATATCCAGAAGCTTGCAAGCCATATATATTCTCTCTCTTTACAAATTTCCATGAAAAAAAAGACAAATTACATTTACATTGAGGGCCCTTCCCTGTTCCTAAGTAAATTCCACATGTATATAAAACAGGCATCATTTTCCTAACTTTTCTTCTTCAAAGGCACTTGAAATTTACAGGGCCAGAAAATAAAGATTTCCTTTTATCTTCAGACCAGATATAGTGCAGAACTCTACTTTCTCCTAGCTAGGCTACTAGCCCTTCTGTCCTGCTGCCCTGTCTCTTCTCCAAGTGATAAGGAGAAAGCATCCTTAACAATCTGATCATCTCCTTCATGAGCAGTTGCCCTGGAAAGACAGAATCTGTCAATTCAGCTCAGGAGGGAAAAAAAAGGGAGGGGGTGCTGGCACAATGGCCACTGATACCAGCACTCACTCAGGAGGCATTAGCGTGCAGATTCCTGTGAGTCTGAAACTAGCCTGGTCTACACAGTGAGTTTGAGAACAACCAGGAATACATAGTAAGACCCTGTCTAAAGAAAAGGGGGAAGCTGGGTGTTGGTGGCACATGCCTTTAATCCCAGTACTTGGGAGGCAGAGCCAGGCAGATCTCTGTGAGTCTGAGGCAAGCCTGGTCTACAGAGTGAGTTCCAGGACAGCCTCAAAACCACAGAGAAACCCTGTCTTGAAAAACCAAAAAGAAAAGAAAAGGGGGCAGAAGAAAAGTGACAGAGTTTGGCCTTCTATGATTCAAATTCCTTCCCATAAGCGCACACAGAAAACCATTAGATGGGGCCCGTGTTTCCTGTGTGGCTTACAGATGGAGGAATTTCCAATCATTTATTGAACAAATAAATATCTAGTCCTGGATTGCTGAGAAAGTTGCCTGTTTAAATTTTTAAGACACATTTTGTTGTTTTCATTTTTTTCTCAATGCATTTCTCAATGCATTTAATTGAACTTACCAGAAGATATAAACTGCTAGGAACCATGATTTTTCTAACACACAGAGCTCTCAATGAACACAAAAGCAAGCATTGAAATCAGTGTGATCATGTGATCTTCCTCAATCTGAAACTTAATCAGTTTTGGTTCTGGCATGTCAAGGGTATTAGCAAGATAAACAATGGGGGGGCCAGTTTCACCTTCATGATTTCTAACCAAAGGATCCATTTTGCTTAACTTTAATGAGTAGATGGGCAAAATTTTAACTTGAATATTGTTGAAATAGGAAATTTTCTTACTTTATTATTTCCCAAGATACAAATGTCCTCATGTTCACCTAGAAGCCACCGCTTGCCTCCCTTTGGTACTCACACTGGTGGAGGCCACTGCTTCCTGAACACTCTCCATGATGAACTCCTTGGTGATCCTTCGGGAGGGCAGCTCATTGAAGAGAGAGTTGATGAGAGCCACTTTAGCTGCATCCCGCCTGGCCTCAGCTCTACTTAAGCAGCACTTGGGAAGAAAGCAGGGGGACAGTTATTAAAGAAGTCAGCATCTCACCATTCCAACACTGCAGCAATTGACCTCTGTGCTTTTCTATTTATACCTGCACACGGGTCTGGATGTAACCTTTGAACTAGTTAATCTGTGCCTTGATGGCCTTTTTAGTAAAATAATAGTAGGAGTGAAGTTGAAATTGATTAATTGATACGAAGAAAGCACCAAGAATGGTCATGGTACACGATACATAGTCATACTCCAGGAAAGCATGTCAGTGATATATATTTTACTTTTATGATAGCTATAAGAATATATAAGTTAGTGCAAGGATACTACTGTCAGTGCTTTCTGCTTTAAACTTTCCTAGCATCTGTTCTCCATCTTTTTTCTAGAAATAGTTCACTGATTTTCTCGAGGGCTGACCTTTATACTCATATAGTTTGGGTAGGAATCAAAACCATTTGGTTTCCCCAAAACTGGGGCCACAGACAGCCTATGCTCAGTAACTTATTAAATACATTTTTAAAAGTTTGGCATGGTGACAACACCCTATAATCCCAGTACTTCAAAGGCTGACGCTATGATAATTTTGAGGCTAACTTAGGCTAGAGAGGGACTGTAGGACTTTAGCTCAGTTGTAGAGTACTTGCTTAGTATGCATAAGGCCCTGGGTTTGAATCCTAATACTTTGAAATATTTTTTCCAGTGTTCCCAATATAATGTTAGTTTCCACCCTCCAAGCCTGTTTCCCTTGTTGTTTACATGGACTTGCCTGAGTGTCTCCCTTCCGTTCTGTTCACTCAGTCTCTTTTCCTAATTCTTAAAACTTCACATTCTTTGAGTTCTACTTTGGCGTAGAATTTGGGGGTCCAGAGAGAGGTAGAAGTCTTATGAGAGCTAGAATAAAGCCATACCTTTAGAGCATTTAAAACATGATGATTGCTCTCTAAGAGGCTCCTATGAACACAGAGCTAGACAATAAGGTTCCTAATAAGAAACTGGTCTCGTGAAAAGAAGTTCAGGCTCCAGACAAGTCAGTGAGGTAGCCAGGCAGCCCAGGCTTGTAAGATCTAGTCCCCCTGAGCTTTGGGGCTATTTCCTTATACACGGCTCCTACTACCTAAAATGTGAGGCTTCCAGAAACATGATGATGTGTGGTATGAAGGGACAGGTAAAGTACTGAGGCTCACTCTTCACTTTTCAGTTTCACAGCCTCACAGGTTCTGTTCCCTCAACCGGAAAAACCAAATCCTTCTCATGTGCTTTCATCACTCTACTCTGCATTGGCCTCACTGACTCGTCCTCAGACACTTACAATCTTGCATCCTTTAGAGCCCAGCTTTTCCTTCCCACTTCCACCATCCCAGTTTGAATCCAAGACCACAGTCTAGGTCTCCAAACCTTCCAAATAGCAGGAATGCTCTAGTGTAACAATCACATAGGTGACAATTGATCACTTCTTTTGACCCTTCTTTTGTTCCCTGTCGAAACCAGGAAAAGTGCTTTGATTTAAGATGCTTGTGTGATGGGAGATGTCCTTCTGCATGCTGTGAACATATGTTTCTCTTATTGGTTGATGAATAAAGCTGATTTGACCAATGGACAGGAAGGACATAGCCAGGCAGGAAATATAGGCGGATGATCAGACTAGGAGAAGTCTGGGAAGAGGAACTCAGAGAGTGAGGAGAGAGACACCATGTAGCTATCATGAAGATGGGATGCCTGGGCATTCTCTGGTAAGCCAAGACTACATGGAGACGCATAAATTAATAGAAACTGGTTATTAATTAAGAGAGTGCTAGCCAATAAGAAGCCTGAGCTATCAGCCTAACAGTTTATAATTAACATAGGACTCTGTGTGTTTATTTGGAATTAAATGGCTGCAGGACAAGGCAAGACAGAAACTTAACACCATCAGAGTATGGAAAAGGTAATAATACCATAAGGACTTTTAAAACAATGAGGGCAGGTGTGTGTGTGTGTGTGTGTGTGTGTGTGTGTGTGTGAGAGAGAGAGAGAGAGAGAGAGAGAGAGAGAGAAACAGAGGGAGAGGGAAAGACAGAGGGAATTTAAGGCTTGGACTCTAGCTTATGATGATATTGGGAGGTGGTGGAACCTTTATGGAAGACAAAGTTAAATTGTTAGAGACATGCCCCAGAAGAAAATACTGGGACCCCAGCACCTCTTCTCTCCCTCTTTGCCTCTTGTTTGCTTTGCTCAACCATGCATGCTCTCTGCCATAATGCTCTGAGTCACAACAGGCCCCAAGGCAGAAGAGCCAATGACTACGGACTTTTTGAGACCACAGCAACATGAACTTTTATTCTCTCAATGTAGATTATCTCAGATACTTGCTATAGTGAGGGGAAATTACCAACACACCTTTAAGTGAATAGAGCTGAAGTTCTAAAAAAAAAAATCTGTGTAGAAAAACACTGTATGGGAAGTAGTAGGTTCTCTTTAGTGCTGCATGACAAGTAAGAAGGCTTTTTGTATAGTTTTAGGCAGGAAACCTTTCAAACTGTAGACATTTTCTAAAGTTTGGGCTACTTGTAATTAATCCAGAGAGTTTCTGCATACTTAGTTTTGTGTTGTGCTATAGACTTGGACAGAAATATACAGGGCCATGAGGTCTGAGTCAATTGTCCTTTAGTAACACTTAGATGTTGAGTCTTCCAGGAAGCTTTGCCTACCACTCTCAAGCCAGGATGAAGGCTTTGACTATACATGAAGGTAAATGTTTGCTGGTCTTTGCCTGCTGTCTCCTACCTGTGTGTCCTAATTGTTACATAATTTTCTTTGTGTCCTACCTATTACATAATTTTGATGTAATTTTCTTTGCATCCCTTCCTTTTACAATTTACTGAGTGAATAACAGTCTGAAACACAGGAAACTCAGTAGCAAATCAATAAAACACCTGAAAATATGTAAGAAATTCTAAGAATATATATATATATATATATATACTTTTTCTTAAAAAGTACTAGTCTATATATTTTATATAGTATTTTAATTCAGCAATATGAAAAGGTATTAAGCCTGGACTAATATTCATAAGAATAACTGAAGGGAGGGAGAGAGGAAGGGAGGGAGAGAGAAAGGGAGGGAGGGAGAGGGAACTGGGGTCGATATGTAAAATAAGAAAAAAATAAAAAATTCCAATGAAGAAACAAAAATGAAGATTAAAAAAAGAATAACTGGCTTTAGACTCTGGCATAAGCATTTTAGCCAATACATAAATATATTTATTATACTTTGAAAAGAATAAACTCCCATTAAAAAGCAAAGGGTCTGCCAATATTATACAACATCTATAACATTTAGTCATTTTAATAGAAGTTTGGCTTTACAAAACCTACAGCAGAGCTTTAGGATTTTAGAATTAATTTATGGAATAAAGGGGGCTAGAGAGATGGCTTGGAGGTTAAGAGCCAGGACTATTCTTCCAGAGGTCATGAGTTCAATTCCCAGCAACCACATTGTGGCTCACAACCATCTATAATGAGATCTGGGTACCCTCTTCTGGCTGCAGGCAGACATACAGGCAGCACATTGTATACATAATAAATAAATAAATCTTTGCTGGGCAGTGGTGGCTCATGCCCATAATACCAGTACTCAGGAGGCAGAGGCAGGTGGATCTCTGTGAGTTCAAGGCCAGCCTGCCTGGCCTACAAAGTGAGTTCCAGGACAGCTAGAGTAAATACAGAGAAACCCTGTCTCGAAAAACACAGCCCCCCCCCCGAAAAAAAAAATAGAATTCAGGTCAGAGCCCTCTTAAACTCTTAAGAAATATCTTTCAGTATAAATAATAGCAATTTAAGCCAACTTTCAGGAAGGGTGGAGGGGGGAGAGACAGAGTAAACACTGCACAGTTAAAAGAAGCTATCTATTTAAATAAGAGCAGCTAAGTACTGTAAGTACTAGATCAAAGGCAACATGCACATTTACAGGCGAATAGCACTGCCTCACACATCAAAGTAAAGTCAGGCAAGCAGTCAGGCATCAGACAGGGCCCTTACCAGGGAAGCATGGGAAAGGAAGGTGGGAGACTCAGCTAATCTCAAGATGTGAAAACAGACACCTGTCTTTACTTATTTTATTGTTTCAGGGTACTGGTGTTTTTTTTTTTTTTTTTTTTTTTCCCAATTCCTTCCAATGGAGAGAAAGTGTGTCTGTTAATAAGTACATAAAATAAAATCAGCTCTGAGCCATCAAAGAACTTTTATTCCTATTGTTCTTTATAATTCTGAAAGACAAGAACTTCAGAATGTCTATAATACCAGCCAGCTGCTTTCTTCTGAAACTACAACCCCAAGCCAGTACCAGCCGCCTGTTTTGCTTTTGAGAGGTTTAAGGAAAACCTTTCAGGAATAGAAACATGTACTTGAGCAAGCAATTTAGCTCATTTGCAGTCTGCTTGGAGTGTCAAAACCACAGTCCAGATGCTCCTGTAAGAGCAGGCACTTTCAGAGTCACCACCAAACAATGGGAAACACTGTAAGAAAATAAAATATGGCAAGTTACAGGGCATTTTATTGTTTTTCAAGCTGGTTATCAAGGACATCAGATGGGGGTAAGTGAAGTATGATGTTATTTTAATGCAGCTTCCTGCTAGAATTAGACTTCCCTGTAAGGTTTATTCTTGCTATTTTCCACCAGACCTCATCATAACTACAGATCTGTAAACAGTGCCTTATGTGCTGACCACTCTTACTTGCTCATACACAGAGAGAGCCTTCATTCTTTGCATTCTATGGAACTTCTGAGCTTGAATATTCAACAGTTGAGCTCTTCAGCAAAGTCAGCTGTGGACTTTGTAGGCATGCAAAACTAGATGCATTGTGAGGGGCCAGCAGACCCAACTCAGATGTGCCTTGCAACTCAGGTGTCTTTTATTTGCTAGTAAATTGTAAACCATTACAATCATTAATGCCTTCTAATACTAAAGCAAAAACAAAACTCTCCTCCCTGATAACCCCTCCCACCACAAAACAAGCAAACAAAAACA